AGGCGTGAGCCACCGCGCCCGGCCTCTGGGGATATTTTAATGGGTATGTCAAGTGATTCTGATACACACTAATGTTTGAGAAATACTGTTAATTACAGCTTAAGCTAATCAAGAAAGATTGTTCTACACCAATGAGATTAAGTCAATACAACATCCAAAGGTCTATATTTTATATATTAGAGAAAAATAACACTATAAATGGTTCTTTATCAAAAATGCTCTTAGAATCAAAATTTTTATTGATCAATTTATCCTTTTACAGAGCTATAGGAATAGGAAAAAAATTGGTAAGGATGCTTAAAAATTAGGTGGAATGCTAAACTAGCATTTAAAAGAGAGTAAGATTTTTAAAGCTTTTCAAAAGGCTATGTAGTTTTATGTAACGGAAATTTCTAATGCTGAAATGGGGCTGCGAAAATAAAAATTGTTTTTCTAGACCAAGGCCCTAAATTTCATAAGACCTTACACAACTTATTTTCAACCAACAGTTGTAACATCTTTAATACGGACAATATTCTTTTAGGGCAGAAGTCAAAACAAAAAGCCAAATTCAATCCTCCAATGTTCATTTTTATCTATCCGCTATGACAATAACAATGGGGAAATGCTTTCTCTATTAAGAGTGCCCTACTCTAATTTATTTGATAGTTTGTGAATTTCAAAGAGAACGTTTAAAGGCACATATACATTAAAAGCTGCCTAGATGATGTATCTGCATAAAGCTAACAAACCATGAAAAACAAAAAAAGGGATAAAAAGACAAAATATAACGAATGGAATATATTAATACAATTAAATTCCATAGCATTAAACAAAATCTTAAGTCATACAATTTTTAATTAATAAAATTATTTAAGGAAATTTACCTGAATAGTGAAGATAAATTTTCACTCAAAGGAAGTATTTCATACTAAAACAATTAAACTCACAATAATTATTTTAACTTGCAATAAAAACATGAAAGCACGTAAAAGTATCTATTAATAAAACTTATAAACCTGGGTAAGTGCTTCATACCATCACATAGGTAGCCAAATATATACCTCAATGAAGCAATGAACACTCTTCTATACAAGTGTTAAATCTCTCAAAAGAATGAAGTTGGCTAAGTGCAGTGGCCTGTAATCCCAGCACTTTGGGAGGCTGAGGCAAGAGGTTCACTTGAGCCAAGGAGTTTGGAGGCTGCAATGAGCTATGAACACGTGACTATACTCCAGCCTGGGTGACAGAGTGAGACCCCATCTCTTAAAAAAAAGAAAAAATATTGACAGCTCTCGCATGTAGTTAAAAAAAAAAAGAAAAAAGAAAAAAGGAAGTTGGGTGAGGAGGGCCCTGGGCAGACGTGCAGTGTGCTTGTATTAAAAAAAAAAAAATGAAGTTGGATCCTTATATAAAAATTAACTAAAAAAATGAATCGAAGACCTAAATGTAAGAGCTAAAACACTAGAAGACAACATACAGGTAAAGTGCTTCATGACATTAGATTTGACAATGATTTCTTGGATACAAGATCAAAAGTATAGGAAATAAAAGAAAAAATAAGGAAAATTGCATCACACTACATCAAAGTTAATAATTTCTGTGCAAGCTGGTGTGGTGGCATGCACACCTGTAGTCCTGGCTACTCAGGAGGCTTTGGTGGGAGGATTGCTTAAGGCAGGAGTTTGAGGCCAGCTTGGGGAGAGTGAGATCCTTTCTTTTAAAAAGCTCCTGTGCAAAGGACATAATCAATAGGGTGAAAATGCAACCCAAAGAATGGCAGAAAATATTTGCGAATCATGTATCTGATAAAGGATTAGTATCTATTAATAGAGTATATAAAAAACTGCTACAACTCACAAACAACAAAACCCAACTAAAAAATGGACAAGGGGCCAGGCACAGTGGCTCATGCCTATAATCTTCGCACTTTGGAAGGCTGAGGTGGATTACTTAAGGCCGGGAATTTGAGACCAGCCTGAATGCTATAGCAAGGCCCTCTCTCTACAAAGAATTAGCCAAGTGAGAGGGTGCACACCTGTGGTCCCAGCTACTCAGGAGGCTGAGGCAGGAAGATTGCTTGAGCTCAAGAGTTTGAGGCTGCAATGAGCTACGATGATGCCACTGCACTATATAGCCCACTGCCTGGGCTATAGAGAGAGACCATGTCTGACGAAAAAAAAAAAGGATCAAGGGACCTGAACAGACGTTTCTTCAAAAAAGATATACAAAGGGCCAATAAGCATATGAAAAGATGCTCAACATCACTTATCATTAGGGAAACACGAACCAAACCACAATGAAATAAAGCCTCACATCCATTAGGATGGCTACTATCAAAAAAAAAAAAAAAATTGTTAAGCAGCATTATTCACAATTGCCAAAAGGTGGAAGCAACCGAAGTTTCCATTGAAAGATGGATGGGGCTGGGCGTGCTAGTGGCTCACGCCTATAATCCTAGCACTCTGGGAAGCCGAGGCGGGCGGATTGTTTGAGCTCAGGAGTTCGAGACCAGCTTGAGCAAGAGCGAGACCCAAAAAAAACAGAAAGAAATGATCTGGACAATT